AGGGACGACTAGTGCAGATAGCCCTCGTGTAGCTTTGCGCGAAATTCAAAAACAAACAAACGAGAACCCTCGCGCAAAGTTTCACAAAGGACCATTTGCTCATAACCGTTCCTGGTTTTCATCTCAAAGAGTAGGGGGAACTAGGATAGTTAAATAAAGAAGTAGGATTTGACTGTCAATCTTATGCGTGCCTACAACCTCCAAGTGCGGAGTGTGTTTTTGCGAAAACGAATCGCAAACATAAATTCTCGGAGTTTATGGATTTAAATATTTTACTTATTCAAAATTTATTGTGGAACCTAATGAATTTCCAAATGTTTCTATTCTTGAAATACTGTTTCAGTACACCCATCACAGAAAGAATAGACCATTCCAAGCTTTTACTTGTTGTTAAACAAATGTTTAAACAACTATATATATTCATAAATAACGTTACTAAGAACATATTTACAAAAAACTGGCCAAGCTTTGAAACAGCCCCCGCTAGCATAATACATATAAGATAGAAGTGTGTCTGTCCCCCCAGCGGGTCAGCTGTAAGCTTACGGATTTACAAAGCTAAAATCTGGGGTTGATTCCCCACCCAGACTAGTTTTGGAGAATTCCACTCCTCATCAGTGACCCTGGACACTACCACCAATGAAATATCAAACCAAACCAAGCCTTTGTAGTAGCGAGGTATCGAAAATCGAACTGGTGTATTTAAGTAAAACACTTAAATAGCCCAGTTCGAACGTTATTTATATTTTTCGTAATTTTTTTTTTCAGCTTTCTTGGTGACAGTGACGGTGATTTTGTTTTAAACTGTTACTGGACAGGGTGAGGCCTAGTGTGTGATGATTAGTGTGTAGGACTGGAGGTGGAAGGGATACGCGGTTCAAAACGTCATGTCTCTGACCACGCTCCGCACACAGTAATTCCCGTTATTCGGTTCATGCAGAGCCTAAACAAAGCCCTTGTGGCTGACAGCACTCCTCTTGTCAGTAGTTCAAAGTTAGAGATAGTTATATCTAAACTATAGTGGTATCTAACCTGGCCATCTATTTGCCGTATGTGTGCATAATGTGTTGTTCAAGTTAAAAATTTCGTTTCCTTAAAACTGTTACTTATTTCCATCTATTAGACCCATAATGTGTTTTCTTTACGGTTTCCAGCGTACCGTCATTATGGAATTGAAAAGTGCGCAAAATCGTACGGTTCGTCAATTCCTTGGATGGAAAGGGGGATTAGGAAGGTAATATTATTTTATGCTTAGGCTGAAACCACGTGGTGTTTTTCTTTCCCTGTCACCCGTGGTCGTAATGTTTGGTTTTAATACACCTTTTACAGACTCTAAACTTCAAAGTCAACGAAATCGTAACTATGGTTTATAGTCAGCCATGTCTATAACTTCGTGACGTTGACTTGTCCACATAGTGTCTAGGTAAAGTAATATAAAAACTGTATTATTTGATTTATTGATACACGGCTGTTACATCTGTTCACATCATATCTAGCAGAAATAATAGTTTATATGATAGCTGTAACACCCATAACAGTTAGACTATTATATTTTACATTTGTTCATCTGGTAGCGACAGCACCAAGTCTCGTAACTAGCTGTAACATTAGTTTATGTGACTGTTGTAACATTAAGTTACATAGCATCATAATACCCGATCTCATAATCAGGTATGACACAAATCCACGTGACAGATAACACATCAGATCTTATATCTAGTCAATGATACTCTGGCAGATTTGAGCATCATTCTGAAATATGATCCTGTAAATACGCGAATTAGAGAGTTTGGCAAGTCTAAAATATTTGTTGAAACACAAAGGTACATAATGGGTTATCTATGCTCTGTCTACCGTGGGTATCGAAACGTGATTTATAGTGTTTTAAGCCTTCATGCTTACCGCTGATCCACCAAGGGCAGAAAATCTAAAATGAACTACAATATACTGATGGCTAATTTAAATAATATTTGTTTATTTTTTTTTCAGTTCTTGCTTTTGACGCAAAAATATTAAAGTAAAGAAAATATTGACTAACTTAATCAATCAAACATATAAATTGGAAGAACAAAACTTATTTTAGTTAAAATAATACGTCGTTAATAAAACTGAATTTGTATCAACGGTAAGCTTAAGGGCTTATACACTAACAACTCGAGACTTGATACCCGTAGTGAACACATGCAGATAGCCCAATGTGTAGCTTTGCGCTTAAAAACGCAAATAAAAAAACAAACATATACATTCTTGTCAAAATGTCAATAACATGTTTGAAGTTGATTCATTCCCGAATCAACACTAGAAACCGGGTTTCGATACCCGTTGTGGGTAGAGCACAGATAACCCGTTGTGTATCTTTGTGCTTAACTTCAAACAATCAAATATTCCCGAAAGTCGATATAAAGAATATTTTATTCGTGAAGATATGTGTCAAAATAATATACTAAAGCTTTTGTATTCAATCCCTGAGAAACTCTTGAACTTAAGTTTTCATCACAGTCGATAGACACTACTACGTACTACTACTACTAATACTACTACTACGTACTACTACTACATACTACTACTACTACGTACTACTACTACTACTACGTACTACGTACTACTACTACTACTACGTACTACGTACTACTACTACTAATACTACTACTACGTACTACTACTACTAATACTACTACTACTACGTACTACTACGTACTCATAACTTGTTTTGTTTTAGAATTTCACGCTAAGCTACACAGGATCTACCAGTTCATAGCTGGCCCTAATTTTGAACTGATAAACTTAGAGAGAGAACAGCTAGACAATAGCGCCAACTTATGCGTTCTTCTTGTGTAATCGAATAGTGGGGTTTAAACATCATTCTATGTACCTATAATAGTGTACCTACAGCCCCACAGCGCGGAGCGTGTTCTAAGCAGCAACAGGGCACGAAACATAAACTTTTGGATCCATAATCCGGGAACGTTAACCACGAAACACAGAACTAATACATTTAAAGTGTTCTATTTGGTTTGCTGTGCTTCTAGATGGCTGCAATAAGCCGTGTTGTAACAGTTTATATGGAACTCTTTTTAACCTATAGGAAGCCTTGTGTTATTGAAGATGTTTTAATAATGTAGTCTGAATGTTATAAAATATATATTTTTTTTCAAACATTTCAGGTCCTTTTGCGAATTTGGGATTGTTTCTTATTAGAAGGGCCCAAAATTCTGTTTCGGTTTACCTTAGCTATCTTGAAAATGCAGGAAGACGTCATATTAACATGCTCTGATACTGTATCCATTATGCGGCAGTTAAAAGCAGCTGCAAAATTTTGTTTTGATATCGAAACCTTGATTAAGGTAAGTTGTTTTACTTTTAGCCTTACCTGATGTAATTATTAGTAACAGAAATTATATCATTTAAAGTTTTTAGTGCACTATTGAGTATGCTCATATCAACCGTCATTAAAACAAAATAATAACAATCTCACAACCTGTTTTGGCATTAGGCCTTCATCAGATATGTTACTTAAAATAGATTTGCAGTGTACTTTTTTTCAACTGCTGTAAGCCTAGTGCCCATAGGTGTGGGAATTTTTGGTATTTCTGTATGATATTGATAATAGTATTCTATTCTGATTTTTCAAGACACCAACTGGGGATTCAGAGCACTGTCAAATATAATTAGGATATGGGCGACCTGTGCCAGTGCTTAGCGATGCCTCTGCCCATATATAGATGTAATCAAATAAAAGTTTAAGTTCCTTATAAATTTCATAAAATTTTAAAGGGACAACAAGAAGCTTATTAACCCATCAAGGATATCCCTTCCAGCTCCCAACTATAACTACCCATTACTACGCATGTATTCATTCAATCTTTTTTTGAACTCAGATACATTTTCTGCCTCCACCATCTTTGAAGGCAACTCATTCCAAAAGCCAACCACCCTGTTTGAAAAGTAATACTGTCTAAACAGCAGATGACCCCTACGCTATCAAAATTTGAATTTATGACCCTTTTGTCCTATTGTTTTCACTGCTAAATATACAAACGTTTGATGGATATATATTATTAATACTCTTAAACACCTCAATCAAATTCCCCCTGACCATTCTCCTCTCTAGAGAAAACAAGTTTAGAGATTTTAGTCTCTCCTCATAGGACAATCCCACTATAAACCAGGTATCATCCTAGTGGCTCTTCTCTGAACATTATCCAACAATTCAATGTCCTTCTTGAGCAAGAGAGCCCATAACTGTACACAGTACTCTAAATGAGGCCTTACAAGTGATCTATACAGTGAAACAATAATATCCCTTGTCTTGTATTCAATATTTTTACAGATGCTACTTAAAATCCTATTTCTAGCTACAATACACTGTTTAGATGACTTAAGTGATTTTTTTTAGCTCAACACTAAGATATTTGTCTTCAACCACAGTATTTAATGTATTCCCATCTAAATTGTAATAATAGTTTGAAATGTGAAAAACCTACATGCATCACCTTACATTTTGGATAGTTAAACATCATCTGCCATGTATTGGCCCAATGCATCCAATGATCTAAATCTTCCTGTAAGTCTGCAGCATCTTTAATACAGTTAACCACCCCAAAAATCTTAATGCCATCTACAAACTTCAAAATTTTGTTAGTCATTCCAGAGTCAATATCATTAATACAAATCACAAACAGCAGAGGACCGAGCACAGAGCCCTGAAGCACACCAGTTGTAACTGCGATCCAGTCAGATCTGACTACATTTATTGCTACTACTAATTTGCAATAGAAAGTGCGTATAAGTTGCACAATTAATCTAAATTAGACTGCGTAGCGCCCTCTCATTTGATTTAAGTTTACAACTGATAAGCTCACAGGTAAATAGTGGCCCGCTACTTGTATAAACGTGTAAATGTTTAACTCTAAGACTTTCTGTTTTAAAATCTAATTACTGGTTAAAATTTTTAATTGAACAGGCATCTGACTAGAACAATTATGTATGTTGATTTGACTTTCACTAACATATCTTCCTAATATGAAAAATCAGTCTAAAGTAGTTTGAAATCGGGAATAAAAGCAAAGCAAAACATATTTCTTCTCTATTTGTATTAGGACTGTTGTTGCTCGGCTAAAAATAAGTATTTTTATATATATATTTTTATTTTTCAATTAAAAAAAAAAACAACAACATCAGATCAAACCAAGGAATTTGGAAAATTCTTTTTATCTTCATGATGAGAAAAGGAAAAACAAAACAAAACAAAAACGTTCCTTTGTATAAACATTACACTTGTCACCGTTTATAAAATCTCCTGCAGCCGCAACAAATAAACTTCAAAATTTAGATTATAGATTCTGGAGGCATCTCACACACTATAAAATTTTAAGAATTTTGAGATAGCCTTAATGGGATAGACAAAATATCGAACTAGGTGTACTTCCACAGGGTTCTTGAAAGTGTTCAGTTTCAAGAGTAAGTAAAACCAAAGTTAAGAGAGACAAATATTTTTATTTCTTGCTTTTGAAGTTCATACGTTATGCTGTGTTGTAGTCTACAGAGTGCATAATTCTTCTCGTTATTCATGGCATGCGCAAGTTCTAGTGACGTCACGTTAGTTCAAATCACGTTAAGCGTTCCTTATGTGACGTCATTTTAGTGTCTACTGAATGACTGACTGATAGACAACACACTACTGTATAGTGGCTAAAATAGGTGACCCTTCCAGGCGGCCTTCGACCCTCATTCGGGAAATATAACAACGTTTCACCACTGTTAACTTGGCATAATTAGGTACATAATCATGCCATGTTAACAGTGGCTAAACGTTGTTTTATTTTATATATATATTTCTATCCCATTTTATCTGTTTTCTGAAATTCTAAAATTTAAGCTAAACATGAGCTATGTTTATTCTTTATTAAATGTCAAATGTATACAAATGTTTAGTAGTTTTCAAGGCGTCTTTTCTGGATTTTACGTGTGTATAAGAAAAATAAGACTACGAAACACTTTAGCGATATAAAAATGATTCTCTGAATGTGTGGTGTAATGAAGAATATTAACATGTTTTCAGTTATTGAGTTATATTTATAACAGTTGGCCTACACTTGATATAATAAGGTATAACTAATTCTTTACCCGGCGAGGTTTTGAAGTTTGTTGTGACATTTCAGACAGCTTTTGAGGAACTTGAACCTTTTCCTAGACGTCATGACATTGCTACAAGACAAGCTTGTTATGGGAGAACCTTGTCTGAAAAATCCAAAAAACGAGAGATCGAAAAGCAAGCTCAGAAAAGAAGAGAACTTATGGTAGGTATGAATTATTTAAGTAACGGACTCTTTAAGTGGATCCTTAATACCTACCATAAGAGAACTTATGGTAGGTATGAATTATTTAAGTAACGGACTCTCCTTAATACCTACCATAAGAGAACTTATGGTAGGTATGAATTATTTAAGTAACGGACTCTTTAAGTGGATCCTTTAAATTGTGTGTTTGTTTCGGATATTCGTCCAAAATTATCCAAGGGCCATCAGCGTCAGCTGTCTCTAATTTTGAATTGATAGAATAGTGGGAAAACAGCTAGTCAACTGCACCACCGCCAATTCTTGAACTACTCTCATCGAATAGTGTGTTTTAAATGTCACTCTTATAACGCACTTTTCGGACATGCTCTCCGTTTCAGCCGTGGTAGCTTTTTAATGTGAAGGACAATCCCACTATTCTTTGGTAAAAGAGTAGTCCATACTAGTTCCATCTAGTTTAAATTTCCGGAACGAACCGCATAATCTCAGATCAACAGACCGGCACGCTAACTACTAGGTAATGCCCCGCTCAAATCATTTAAACATGTTGTTAAAAATATTAAACGATAACCAGTTAAAACTTAGGGTATGTACTTGTTCGTTTTTTATTATTATCTTCATTTGACTAATTATGCACGATGACAAAAACAATCGTTTATTTTAAATCAAAGAGTTACACTTCCTAATAAAGGGGATGTGCACTTGTTGGCATAAACTATAAGTACACGGGAAGTGTTTAATTTGTATTTCATTAGGAAGTAAAACTGTTTGTAACTGTGTGTTTATAGTGCGTATATTTATGATTCTCAAGCTGTCGTACCTGGAGGAAGAATCAGGTCGTCCCCTTATTGAATGTGCATCTGTATACGATAAAGGTAAGAAAACTATATTTTGATAAAAATCACTCTATATAGGAGATTAATTTTACCCCCCAATTATATTATGGAGGTCTATAGATATTCCAGTTCTTCGACATAAAATTTCATGAACAAAATGAACAGCTATACACAATGCACAAGACGAGTTAAATCGTTTTAATAATTTGTTTCGTTACGATGCATTGTAATTCTAAGATGTTGTAAATCTAATACTTATAGACTTGTTAACTTCCAAGAACGTGAATGAAATTAGAATGTAAGACCTTTGACAAATATTAATTGAACTTAAATGTCAATGCTATACCTTGAAATACAAACACTATTGTTAGATATTGATGTTTTACTATAAACTCGTATATTTTCGGGACTTGTTTTGAATAGCTGAGAGGCGTGTTCTTGTTTTATAGACGTTAAACTTTACTGTTTGTGTGATAACATAACATCCAAAAAAGTAAGGAACATTTCTCAGGTTCTAAGGTGCATATCTGAAGAATGAAAACACAAATTATTATCAAATCGTCACATCTTACTCAGTAGATGTAGCTCTAGATACCTCACTTAATATCTACAGCTGACTTAGTTGTGCCAGCTAGATATTTTACTTAATGTCATATCTTACTCAGTAGATGTAGCTCTAGATACCTCACTTAATATCAACAGCTGACTTAGTTGTGCCAGCTAGATATTTTACTTAATGTCACATCTTACTCAGTAGATGTAGCTCTAGATACCTCACTTAATATCAACAGCTGACATAGTAGTGCCAGCTAGATATTCTACTTAATCGTCACATCTTACCCAGTAGATGTAGCTCTAGATACTTCACTTAATATCTACAACTGACTTAGTAGTGCCAGCTAGATATTTTACTTAATGTCACATCTTACTCAGTAGATGTAGCTCTGGATACTTCACTTAATATCAACAGCTG